GAAACAATGTAGGGTAGATTTGGTGTGTTGGTGGCAATGGGGGTCAGGGATTGTTACCGGAAAGGATCCAGAGCCACAGGACAAGAGCTATAAACACCAGATTCCCACTGCCCCGTCAAGAAGAGATCAGGTGTCAGTGCTTTTCAAGGAGGCAAAGAGCAGGAAATACAAATGTATGTAAAGTAGGAAGATGGGATGGTGAGGGAAGTGGAAAAGATGTCAAGAATTTCCGTGCTATCTGCTTGAAAAGAAAGTGCAAGAACTAGGTGTTTCAAACGACTTTGGTAGCTAGGCTGCGATCTCTGCTCACCACCCCCTCAGGGAGCTTGTGCTTGGCATCATTCTACACATTAAGTGTGACACTGGAGTTTGTAAGGCCAGGCAGCTGCAAACACATTTAACGATGTGAGGGGGTTGGGGGGTAGGGGAGCTGAAGGGGTCGTTGACATCACATCTGTTCATTCATTGGGTATTCTTGTGACACAAGTAAAGATGGCAGGAAGGTTAGTTGTGGAAGGGAGACACTAGAAACATTCCTAAAGTAGAATAAGAAAAACTCATGGATTAAATTGAGGGAATAAAAAGTCAAGGAATAGTCAAGATTGAGCTTGGAATATTTGTGAAGCACAAATTCAGGGAACAGAGAGCTGGTGCCTACGGAATGGGGGAAAGGAATTAGGGGAGGAAAAATAGACCAAAGGAGTTCAGCAAGGGCCATGTTCAGGTCGACATGGTGGGAAAACGCAGTGTGAGCCCATAGGAAAGGTGGATTTGAAGGGGAAGAGCAAGGCCAAGCACAGCTCTGGAAGTTACTGCATGTGGGTAGAATGTTGGGAATGAGGCTGAGGTAGGCCAGGGAAAGGCTGCTACTTTGAGAGATCTATTTTGAAGTCTACGAAATTGAACTAACTAGAAAGAGAAATAAATGTAGATCAGAACCTTCCTGTCCTGCCATGTTTGCACTTAGTAGCCAACGAGAGCAGGAGAGCTTCGGAAACGAGGTGGCACCAGGGCAAACAGCTCCCCTTGGTCACCAGACTCAAGTCCTAAACCCAAGATGTAACCTTATCACAAGTCTGGCCAGAATCTACCAGTGGCAGTGGGGATGAGGACGCCCGTGTCCTTCCCAAGCACAGGACATGTCAGTCATCCTCACACTCCTAAGGCTGACAGAACAGGCAGAGTCGGGATGACACTGTCAATGTGACCAATAGACTACGTCAACATGACAACAGTGACCGGTCAGAGGGAGATTCCCTCATCCTGGCAGAGGGAGTCTAAGTTACGCCAGTTCATGGTATTTCTCTGAGTCTCCTATGATCACTTCCTGTGTGTTGTGGGGCGCAAACCCAGCGATCAAGTGACCTGATTCCATCTGGAGGAAGACGTGCCAGCAAGAGCTACAGAAACAGTATTCATGTGTATAGGAACTTATCCTAGGGGAATATGGGCAGATCTGTTTGTGGCTTCTTCACCATAGGCTTGTTTGACTTTTCTTTATAAGTGAACAAATGCAACTTAAATGTCCAACCACAGATGAGTTTTTATTCTGTATATCCATACTGAAGGATCACATCTTGTAGATATACACTGATTTCACCTATATTAACATACAGAAAATTATACAACAGTCTATACTAACAACTGCATTTGGGGGGGGGGGAATTTTAGTGTGTAGCTATTCATGCCACAAATCTTTGAAGACGACAGTGATTCTTTCTGGGCAGGAGAATCAGAGATGCTTCTGATTTTCCTTGATTTGCCTGGCTCATGTATTAACTGTAAAGCCAACAAATAAGCAGCAATCTTTGTTTCCTTTTGTCCTCAAGCTCTTAGAATGTTTAGGCTATCTCCAGTTTTTAAACATTCCTTTCTTTCACATTTGCAGGAAAAGGAACTTTCCCACATGTTGGGGCTGTTTCTTAGAGGCAACTGGATGCTCCACGGCTCCTCTGTGGCTGTATTAAACAGCTAAGCAGGGTGAGACTTAGCTGCTTAGCTAACGGGCTAAAATTCTCCGTGCTCTCACATCTGCTACCTCTTTTCTGGTGCTTTTGTCCCCTCAGTCTTGCTGAGTTAACATTTATACTACATCGCCTGAAATCAAATAGTAGAGATCTTATCTCCACTTTATTGCACTGACCTTCGTAGCTGACCCTCGAGTAATTTAACCCAAGTCCTAATGTTCCAATTAAAATCACATCAAATAAGTGAAATTGGATTTGCCTTCGCATTTTGTGCAATCTCTCCTTACCAACACAGCTCTGTGTCTTTGCCTCTTGCCCACATTACACAGGGTTTGAGGCACAGAGCGGCATGGTAGAGGCATTTTCAGTCACTCAGTCTGTATTAATGAGCAGCGAGCGAGAAGTTGGGAGGGTGAAGAAATGTGCCAGCCTGCCCACCTGCTTCTCGGGGTGCTGGGAGGAGACACCAAGGCCACAGGCATGGCGGGTGGCTGTCCTGACCTCGCTATGTACCAGCCACAGCTCTAGGCGCCCATGAACATTCACACAGGGCCACATCATTATTGAGCTGTGGGTCTGTGCAGGGAGAACAAGTACAAAAGAGGACCAACCCACACATCCATTTTTATTTCACTGGCAAGAAGGGTATGTTACTCCAGTGGAGACACCAGCAAGGACATGCAGGCATAAGTGAGACCAGGGCCTGTAGGCTGTGACTTTATATTTACAACTTAGTCAACCATCTCCCACATGCCTAATACTTTATGGATTACTTTGAAATGGTCAGATATGCACTTCAGTGTTTTTCTTAAAGTACCGTAGAAGCTGAATTAGTCTAAGTGTAAAGACTTCCAGATAAGGCTCCGTTCTTGCTCACACAGCACACCCCAACATTAAACCTCAGTGTTAGTTCTATCAACTCTGCACTCGCTCAGCATTGTTTGAGTCTGATCTTTTTTTCAACCCTCTTAAGAAAGAGAGCAAGTCCACTCCATAGCTTAGACCTACCAGTATAGGCTCTAAGGCTTTAACAGAGAGCTGTAAGGAGTGAAATATTCCAAGCAGCAAAAAGAAGTTGGGATGAAAGATTGGGCATATAGGAGGAAAATATCTAAAATATCAAACAGACTAAATGTACAAAAAAAAATCTGATTATTCAATACCAACAAAATAACTTTAATACTTCATTTATTTTGTAATTAAGAAGTAGACTGAAACTTAGCTGTAATTATTTCAGACGAATATCCCTTTAAAAATCTGAGAAAATTGATCTGTCAGGTTTCAGGGCTTTTCTTCCTTTGCTGTTTGGATTAGTATCTCAGTGGCCAGATGCAGAAATTTCCAATTAGAACAAATGACCTCATATCCCATAAAACTTTCCCTCCCTGAAAATTTTTTTATATCCTACTAGTTTATTCTCTGCAAAAAGACTGAAGAGATTAAACCCTTAAATTTAGTATTAACTCAATATAAGGACAGAAACAACTTTTCTATTTATAACTTTCTAAGAAGGTAACCAAGTTTTAAAGAACATAATTCCTTATTATTATAAGTAATATCCTATTTCGATTATAAGATGTACACTTTTCACATCTGAATATGTCTGAAATAAGATACAACTAAAATTTAATATGCAGTTAATGAAATGGGGGGGTTCTTCCTGAAAACCTGTTATGTGCGTGCACTTTAAAATGAATGGATTTTAAAAGTAAGAGCTGTGGTGATGGTAAGGACCACTGGCATGGGAACCCAATTCTTCAGCAGCAGAATCTTGGTCCCTCAGGAGTCTGAGTTTCATAACAGATTTCAATAGAAAAGCACCACAGTATTGTGGACATCATGTCGTCAACGAACACATCCACGCTTGAACCAGAGAGGAGAGCCCACACCATGATTCTACAAGGGTCCTATTCATCCACTCAGCCCCAGGATTCTTCCTCTGATTGCATTTTTAATGGGGCAAGAGAATGCTACTGGGACATGGATGGAGCTGGAAGGGGTGGTACTAAGTGAAATCCATGAGAAGAAAGACAAATATTGGCTGATTTCATTCATGTGGAATAGAAGGAAACAAACACAGGAACAGATGAAACTAAACCAATGAAACCCTAGAAATCAGACTGCAGAATGAGGCGACCAGAAGCAGGAGCTGAGGACTGGGGGAGGGGAATGGCCGAGGGTAGAGGGTTATGGGTGTTTGGTGGCAGGTATGGTGTTGCATGCATCCTAAGAGGTGTGAACCTGTACCTCTAAGTCATGTATAGTGTTGCAGACCAACATGACCTCAACAAAAATGTAATCTCATTTTTGCAAAAGGTGGGGGAAGAAGAGTGAGAAGAATGTTCCGGTGCCTGTCAGGCCTGGTGCTGGAGCTCATGGCGCCTGATGGGCACCCTACTACATGGCTCAGGGCCACACCTGAGTATGCTGCATCAGGCAGACAGTCCTACCTACTGGGAACTGAAATGCCAGATGGCACTTCTAGCTCCCTCACCAGGCTGAGCCCAGGCAAAGTTGCGCCAGATGTGCTCGAAGGCAGCTGCGTGGGGAGAATGCAGGTAAGTCAGAGCTACTCAGTCCTAAGGGTCCAGAGAGTAGAGCAACGGGGAGACAAACAGTCTGGGCATCACACCACTGCCCAGGGCTGTGACGCCGGGGCACCTGCGGGCCTTGGTCAACACGGCTCACTGGTCACGGAAGTGAGCTCCAGACAGACGCGTCTCGTTTCACTTAATCACGAATCCAAGCCTGACTGGCTATGACCATCCCCCTCGGAACGATGAGAAACAGGGCACTCTAGAGCCAGGTACATGTGGCCAGGAAGCGTTCAGTCACCAGACTCTACTGCCTTCTGCGAAGAAACTGACTGACTAGGTTAAAAGACACTGAGCTGACTATGAAAATATAATTCTAAATACCCCCATTTGGTCAACAAACAGTTAAGTGATTATATACCAAAGAACAACTGCAAAACAGTACCTGAAAAATAAATATTTAATAATGTAATTATAACCTTTATATTTTTAGTCTCCCTTTGTCAAAATTCCATCATCTTCAGATTCTGGCTAAAAAATAGCTGTATTAAGCATTTCTCTTTACAGGTAAAGTCTGAGCTACTGAACAATATTTTAATATTTAACTTGTAACAATTATCAAATGTAACACACTCTTACACTCCACATTTCACAGAAACAAAACCTCAGGTTTTCACTTTCACTTTCCTATGACACTTTCTGCTGAAGAATCAGTATGCCCATTTTTCAGATAAAAGAGCCTAAAGTCGATGCCTGGAAGAGAATTAAAGAAAGGGGAAAGGCACCCAGAGAGCACCGGCAAACCAGCCGAGGGAAGGAGGGAGTCTCCAGGCCTCCAGAGAGGCTGCCACAGCATCATCTTTATGCCAGAAAATACCACCCGCCTATTTCCTAGCTTAGAGAGGTGCATTCCTTTGAAAGCCACAGAATTTAAGTCCAGTGTGGCACTTTCAGAAAATGGCATCAAAGGTTGTACGATAAATCTTTCTTATTCTCAAGTCACTGGACATTTAAGAGCAAAGATATTGATGGGCTCTTTCTCGCCTTTTCTTTTTCCTTGTAGCAGATGTATGATTCATGGATTGTCCTTTAGTAGTCTCCATTTTCATCTTATTACTTTTTCTTTGCTTCTGCTTTCTGGCAGCTCTGAAAAACAAGGTGCTAAATTATTTTGTAGAATGAGCACAGTGAATTATGTAATTATGCTGAAGTTTAATTAACTAGCTCACCAAATAAGAAAACAGAAGGGAAAGAATTTGCTGTATTAGAAGCATAAATCCTCAGAATCCTAACCATAATAACAAGGAGATAGTCAGAGGCCTGACCAAGCAAAATATTTGAGAAAAGAAATTTCTTTTGAAAGATGGTAACTACAGATTTAGAACACTATTTGGGACACACATGCCCCAGAGGTAAACAGCCAAGCCGATGAGTTTGAAGAGTTTTTTTGTTGGTGTTTTTTTGTTTTATTATTATTATTATTATTTTATTTTGGTATATCTATACTGCTCAACTCAGCACTTCAATCTCCAAATCCCTGAAATACAGTTTTCCTGAAATATCTGGCTGTTAACAGCAGTAGAAAAATGCACAATGGGAAAAACTGAGAGCACTTAAAGAGTCGCATTTTACAAGCCTTAACACTCAGCAGATCCAAAAGCCCCGACCAGGCCTTCTGGGAGGCCCGCATTTTGTGATGCCTGTCTTCTTCAAGATGATCTTCAAAAGGAGCAAGTTGGAACTCACCCTTCAAAAACACTAATCCACACCAGAAAACACAGGTCCTTTGCTTCTGCTGCTCTCTGAACTAAGGTAATCCACAGGGGAGAAAGGTTACCCGTCTACTCCTCCACCTTGTCCAAGCTAGCAGAATCAGGCCATTTATCGTATCAGGAACTGAAGGATAAAGGGCAGACTTCCCATGGCCCCAGCAATACCATGTGTGAGGTGCTGCTGTCCTAGGAAAAGCTCCTTCTTCATCATCCCAGGACTAACACCCAGGAAAAGAGTATCACAAACACTATGTAGCACCCCCCCATCCGAATTGTAATTCATTCAGCAAATACATTATGAGTTGGCAATGCAGAAATGAATGGGTATCATCTTTGAATTTAAAATGCTGGGAAATACAGTGGGACAAGGCAGATGTCCTTTCCTTCTCCTGCACCCCAATTTCTTTTAGGGAAAGAAACTGAGGTTATAAAATCATGGAGTGAAAAAGGAGCAAAATCAGCTTGCTCCAGAACCTATGCTCTGAATCACCTTGACACTATATACTCAGCAATATAAAAATGCTCGGATGTATAAAAGGCTGGTGTCTAATCACTAAATCAATACTGGCTATTATTATTAGCGCCACAGGACTATTTTTGCTTGCCAACTTACATTTTTCTAAATTTAGATTTTGCACTAAGGGCTGGGATATCCTGGCAGTTGAACATAAAACAAGGCAGTCATCTGAAGTCATCTTGTTTGTGCATGTTATATAAGTCTCCTTTCCCTCTGGACATTTTTTGTAAGTAGAATAATGTCCTGATAAATTAAGTGTAATCTCTTGGTGGCAAAGACAATGAGTTAGTTCATGCCTGTACACCAAAATAACACAGATTTCTTTTGGGTTCTCTACTCATAGGATGAGTACATGAGATGCCAACAAAGGATACAGTAAAAAAAAAAAAAAAAAAAAAAAAAAAAACAAGGAAAACACACTTTTTTGAGTAACAAAACTCACTTGTAAAGATGAATAAACAAAACTTTCCTGCGAGAAAGTCTTTCAACTATGATAAACTAATTGAGTATAAATCAATTGTTTTAGTTTTGTCTTAAAATTAAATTGACCTAGTATTTGTCCTCTAAACTGTACATATTTGTGTAACTGATGAAATAAACTTTAACCACAAGAGGGAGCCAGCATCATTCCAGTCACAGCCAAAGGAAAATTAATCCTAAGAAAAAAATAAGATAGCTATAAAAAAGATTTCATGTATGCTAAAAAGGCTATTAAAGTTATTTACTATTATAAATAAAAAAGCTGCCTTGTCAATTTCATTATAAGATTCTCTGAAAGTGCTACCTGAAAATAACAACAGGACTTTAGAAGTATCCTCTGGGCGAAAGTAACACTACTTAAAAATTATCACGTATGCCACCTCCTAAAAAATCTGCTCCTGAATTAAACTTAATAAAAATCTAAAACTGAGAGACACTACAGGTTGACCCTTGGTGGAAACAGTATTTTACCACTACAAAGACTGGCTAGGGCTATTTAAGAACCAGTGAAGAGCCCACAATAGATTACCACAACTCAAATTCAGTTTCCATGTATCCTAAGTTTATGGAATCACAAGGCTGAGCACGTTATAACTCGTATGCACCTAGAATTATAGTGTGAGTGATGAAACAGTCCCAGACTAATAGTTTATTAGGCTGTATTCTATTTTTGAATTCCAAGGAAAAATGTTTATGTGATTATTCAAGACATCTCTTTAATTTTAAAACTGTACCTCACCCTCAATCAATCAGTAAAACCACTTATTAAAACCGCATTTAGTAAAAAGTAGTGGTAGAGGCAGTTTAAATATTGTAGGCCGAATTTAAATGACTAAACCTTAATGGGAAAAAAGTAATTTCCACTGAGCAAAAAATAAAAATAAGCAAATGGAACAGAAGGATACAATCATAAATGGTTACTGAGTCACGAGGTAATGGATGTTTCCCCATCACAAATCATATTATAGGAGCTCAAAATGTTTATCTTGATCTAAATTTTAATGTTAAACTTAGCTATCTGATTTTCATATCAGCAAAAACAAGAGGAATCAACACCTTAGCCTCCCTTTAGTTCTAAAACGTGTGCTTATTAAAGTCTACACAGCTGAATCGCGGTGCTTTTTTCCATGGGACTCCGCTGTTGCTCCAAGGTATAGCCAGTACCTAGTACTGGTGGGAGCAAACAAAATAATCAGAAAAATGAAAATAAATTTTGAATATTTAACTATTAACTGTCTAAGTATTTTTCATGTCTTGTAAAATTTAAGTTTTCCAATTCACCTTTGCATCCTCCCTCCCACCACCTATGGCCAACAACACTTACCAGTGAGAGCAACAATTAACTTTCTATTTCTGAATCTTCTCACTATTGCATACTTTCGGGGACTGTTCCGTACAAATCACACACGAAAAAATCTTGTTCTAATAAGTAAAAAAAATTCAACTAACTTGTTAACTCTCTTAGTTGTAGAGATGTTAGGACACGAGCTACGTTTATGGTCTAATTCACCACAAATAAAGCAGCCATCCTTCGGGCCTTTGCAAGAATGATCTGGAAGAGCACACTGATTGCAAATGCTGCAGTGGATCCATGCTAAAAAATAAGAGATGAGTTTTAGAAGAAGTTCATTTAATATGAGTTTTCACTTGCTTGACCTTTATGATCGGGAAGTCAGGTACTTACGTCAACTAGTGCGGGTTTGCATAGCTGGTTATAATCTGGCTGAAGAGACCAAGGGTCAGAGGCTGTTGGGATCCTCTATAAACCAGCTAATCCAGGACAACAAATTCAACCCTTCTCCAAGGAGTCAAGAGCCAAAAGCCCCAACGTAACAGTTGCTGGCTCTGTGACAGGAGCCCACTCAAATGTGTCAAATCAAATGCCTCACTGAAACAGGCATGAAACTCAGTCAAGTTTCTATGTAGGAAAGTGTATAACTTGGTTGTTGAAAAAATTTAAAAGCAAGTAAATTAATGCAGGTGTCTATATTAATGTTTTTCTTTTATAACAGAAATGAAGTAAAAATGCTATTTATACGATCCAAATGTTTTCACAGAATCTCCAATATTAATTCTAAATACTTACAAGGTTTCACACACTTGTGGCAAAGAAAGCAATGGCTCCATTTCCTGCCATCCTGCAAAAACAATGTTTAAATTATGTTTAATTTGTCACTGAAAATCAAGTTCCACAATTAAAAATTAAAATGTCTTATTAAAATCTGTGTAAATTATTCATTCCTTACTTCTCACTTTCCCAGGCTTCACAATTAAATACTTTGATTTTAATTTATGCATTTCTCCACTCAACTCAAATGCCTCCTTGATGGGTCCCAATTTCCGTAACGGCAAAACTAGGGATTTATGTCTGAACGTCCACCCCAGTTCAAGCAACATAATCCACACAAAGAGGGTGCGATGAAAATTTCAGGAGAATTAATGATTCATAATTTTTATGTGGCTGTCTGGCACAATCCTTAGTAAAATCCATATTTAAAAACTTTATGTAATTTAGAAAGAGATTATAGGTTACTGATTGGGTAATTTTGACACCGTGAAATAAAACATAACTAGACATAGAACATAAACGTCCGATTTAATGAATACTATAAATGGATGACCTCCAACAGGTGAAATGTCAGAACACTATCAGCATGGGCTCCCAACAACACTCCTCCCTCCCAGGTCTCTGTGGTGCTCACTTCTTTCTATTGTTTATTTTATTTTTTTTTTTAAAGATTTATTTATTTGTACATACAGAACTGGGGTACAGGCCAGAGGCTCAGGGGTGGTGAGAGGCTTCACCAGAGACAGAGTGGGGAGCAGAACAGGTAGATCAACGAAGTACACTGCTGAGGGGAGCAGCGGGCGGGCCAGGAGAGGTCTGCCAGCCATGTGGTCTCCTCTGGGGCAGGCGGGAATTGAACTCATGCGGAAGTGGCTTTTTAGCTTCTCAGTGCAGTGCTTTAACCCGCTGCGCTACCAGGGAGGACCCTATTGTTTATTTTTACCACCTGTGTATACACAGGAAAAGTCACGATGTATTTTTTCCTGTGTTTTTCAAGCAAAAACGTCTTATGGCTTTTCTGACAATTAGTCTGGTTTTCCTTTTGGGGGGCTTTCTATGATTGCAAAATAATTTTTTTTTAAAAGAAGATAATTTCTAAGTGATTTGAAATTAACTATGTGTTACCACAGTTAAAAACAAGTGAAAACCAGTTTCTACAAACTTATGAAAAAATACACCTTACAATAGTCATAAGAAAAAAGACAGTCTTTTCCCAGGAGAAAATCTTGCGATTTCAGAAATTAAACATCACTGATCATAACAAAGGGCGATTTTAGGACCTTCCCATCTCCCTGAGAAAGTTACAGGCACAATGTCACTTCCAGCCCTCTGCTACCTGTAAAAGTGCAGAACACCTACCCTCCAGGGCTGTTCTGTGAGATGTTGATGAGTTCACCATCTACATCTCTTAGGAAAGAATTTTAGCACATAAAAAGTGCACAATGAATTCATGAGTTGTTAATGATGATGAAGGCAACTAAGTATTTTTAAAATCTTGTACTTTATAATTAGAGATTAAATATCATACTGTGGTAAAATTAATAAAAGAATACATTAGTTCAAATTCTGGTAAGTCAATATTAAGCAAAAGTAATGAAACTACTAAGTTAAAATAAAACTAATGCATTTACATAAAAATACATTCTAAAGAAACCTGTACCTTGGATGTGCAGGAATTACAGTGCTCACAGTGTTGGTTCTCTAGAGAAACGTATCTTTGACACAGAGGGCAAAACCTAACAAGGAAAGAGAAACAGGGACCTGGTCTGAGCAAGAATCATAGCAGACAAAAGCTCTAAGACAGTAGACAAAAGTTTCTAAGGTACTCCTCAGCCAAATGGGGTATAATCTGAATTCAATTCATAAAGAATTATGGAGGGATTTTAAAATAGGAGAACCATACGAGTCGGTATTAAGGCATTTCAATGTGGAGTATATGAAACTTCACATTCAGTCCCGTAAGTTTTTTGAGACCTCACAATGATCTTACCTGTACCCTTCTTCAACTGGGAGGATTATTTTGCTGGGTGGAATGTTCGTGAAAATACGCACAGGAGACTGTTTCCGGCCTGTCTTCCCATGTTTATAAAGTGTGTGGTTCTCATAATCTACCTAGAAATTTTTTTTTTAATTTAAAAATAAAGTTACTCAAAGGATCATTCATTAATGTTCTTTATACAATAAATGAATAAGTTGGCGCCCAGAGATGAGTTAAATGAAGGTCTTCCGTAAGAAAAGACTAAAAGTAAGAGTTTACTTATTCATCAACAGTCTTGGAGAGGCATGTATGGCCGTGAAATTTCATGCTAAAAAGGGTAAAATTTGTTAGGACAAACTCATATTGCTTATTATTGAGAGAACAGCTCTAGTCTTTTAGCCAATACAATCTAATACAACTGATTTTACAACAGAGAACTTTATGGAGCTCAGAATTAGGTTTTGATACTCAAAAGTCAAACTACAGGAGATGTGCACAGCTTTCATTGTGTGAAATTTGCTACACGTCACTTCCTATTCAAGTCTGACTCCAGCCTGCGAGGCCTCCACTACTCACTCTTGCCCTAGAATCCATTCCCAGTCTGGCAGCGTGTAGGGTTGGGAGCCAGACACTGGCTTACATGGCTATGTGATCGCAGACAAAGTTCACCTGCGAAGGGAAGTTACGGAGCTGCAATGAAGGTTTAAAGAGCTGCTGTATGTCAAATACTGAGAGCAGGGGCTGCTTAGGACAGAGATGAAAACAGTCACGATGGGAGTTGTGTCCACAAAGAAGGTTTCGAACATTCACCTCTCCGCGGGATTCCTAACTCAACTCACAGTTTCAGCAGATTACCTGGAGCACCTCTGCTATAGATTACCCACAAGAATACCATGCAGTTTCTGTGAGGTCAATACAGGAAAACTTCAACTCCCAAATGAGTTATGGTGAACTGTTTAGGTTTTCAATGAAAATCTAAAGTAGATTTTCTATTTGACAAGTAGATAATCTACTTAACAAATGACAACAGTAGTGTCTTGCAGGCTAGTTATTTATGAGCAAATCACAACAACGTAGAATTGATGACAATGGGCAGAGAGGTTTTGAATGAGCAAGTCCTGAGCTCTAAAGCCCAACCAATGACTCCCAGACTGGTGGGCACCAATTTAGGAGGACTGACGAACAAGCTCCTTCAGTGGGGAGATAAAACAGGTACACGATGAGAAGATCCAGCTAAATAAGGGCAAGCAGCCAAAGCCTCAGGGGTCCAGCTGACCGTGAAGGTGAGTGTAGTGTCAGAGTGACAGCTGGTGTGGGCTCAACGATGGCCCACACTCAGGTGCAGCATCCTAGCGAGAAGACCATTGCTGGGGCACACCTGAAGCCCTGCACTCTGCCACTCTATTTTAAGAGTGACACGGGTAAGCCCAGTTCACTTCTACTGAAGAAATGGCAATGAACAGGATTTACAGTTTAACATACTGAGGCTGTTTATTCACCACAGAGAAGGCTTGGAGGAACAGTGAAGTATCTTATAACTGAAGGGGTGTCATGCAGAATAGAAACTAGACTTATCCTTTATTGCTTTGGAGAACAAAAGTAGGACCAATGGTTAGATGTTAATAGGGAGTATTTTACCTCAATATGAGAAAATTTTCTAACGATTAGAGCTATTAAATAAATTGAGTTGCCTTGTAAGGCTGTAGGACTTGTTCACTGAATGCATTCAAGTGAGGTTCAATGACTGCTTGTCATAAATTTAGTGAGAGGATTATTACAGTGGGAAGTTTGCCTAGGTTACTTCTAGGTTTCTTTCTAACTTTTAAAATTGTATGAATATATGTTACCTATTAGAGGCTAAGGCACAAAAGTAGATTTCATTTCAAAATCACCTTAAAATAGTACTGTAAGTAGTTTTCTTTTAAAATGATTTAAATTCAGAATTTTTCCCTAACGCACTCTTCTACGTACTCAATAAATATACGGCGCCTTATTAAATTCAACAAAGCTGCTTTGAACATTTATGAGTGTCATAAGAAAAAAATTCTTCCCAAGAGAATCTTACGAAGATTTTTAAATGTTGGAAAAAAAGTATCTTCGGAAAGATTTCTAGCAAATGGAATATTCCATGCAAAATGATAGCAGATGGAAGAGAGGAGGAAAAAAAAAAGAACAATTTCTTTATGGTTACCCAAGGAGTCAGAGAATGTATGTGTCAGGAAGGTGGTTGATTGCTTGATTTTGCATAACCTAATTGAGATTATTATTATTTTTAAATGTGGGTTTGTTGTGCTAATTAACTATAAACATATGGTATGTAAAATGCATGCTGCTAGGGTAAATTAATGTACCTCTAACATACATCCATATTTCATAGCTTCCTCCACACAAATAAACCTCCTATGGAAGTGCTGTAAAGCAAACACAATTTTGCAAATTGCGTATCGCTGGTGGTAGAACTGATACACCATTTTCCCATCATTATCTCTGACATTTCACTCACAATGATGATGAGAGGCATTTTCAAATAGAAAATTTCTCCCATGGAACTGATTAATGTGATGAAGTACTGTATAGAAATGAGGGAAAGCTCAAAATCTCTGCAATCCCTAACTTTTAATTTTATCTACACACAAATTTCTTCTGTACCACGAGATTGAAACTAGTTATATGGGAACCAAGACATTCAAGGCATCAAACATGTATTTTGCACCTACTATGTTTCAGGCATCATACTGGGAAACAAAGATTAAATAAAACAGAGTACTTGTATTTTTATAACAGGATTGTGCTCTGTTTAATTTCAGTTTATTCAAAAGAAGCAAAATGAACTCTTTGGCTCCGTTAACCAAACTATATCAACAAGTATAAGATCAAAGAGTCATACAGTCTTATGCCCATCCCATCTAACCTCTTACTTTCAATGTGTGTGTGTGTGTGCACGCATGCGTGCGTGTGTGAGTGATTCCCCCTGATACTCCAAGTCTGTTAGGTATCTTATGTTTATTACACGGTGGGCATCAAGAATTTCAATTGCCATCTTGATATTAGCAGTAATGTCTCAGGGATTTCCGTTAAAATAGCTTCATTTCTGAACCAGAAATAAGCCTCAAAAACCCCACAACTTTCTATACAAGATGATTTTTTAAAAAATAACTTCAAAAAAGGCAAAAAGCTTTACTCCTAACAACCCAGACAGGAGAAAACAAGAGATCACACAGCATGTTTAACGTGGAAGGGGTGTGAGGTGGCCCAGCTCAGACAAGGTAAATAGGAGACCTAAACGCAGCAACAGCCAGTCCCTTCCCCCCGCCCACTACCCCAGAAGCAGACATCACTAATCAATCATGCTACTGTGCCACTGAGTCTGTATTCTCAACAAATTCTTCAGAAAGTTACTACCAATTTATCAGGCTTAGCATTAAAAGTAAAACTTACCTGTCATCGCTTTTCTGGCTCAATCATTTTATTTTATAGGCAAGGAAACAGAGACTTGGAAAGATAAAGTGACTTCCCCCACGATTAAATGGCTTCTAAAAGGCAGGTCTAGGACTTCTAACTCTAAATCAGAATTTCTTTTCATTATCATATCCTTCCTTTCTAATCTGTCCTTAATAAGACCCTTGGTTTGCTAGTCTTTGATAACTATTTTATTCTGTCCTCATCAAGTGCTTTAAATTACTAAAGAGACTACATGATTTATACTTCATGAAGATTTGCAGCATTTCTGCCTTGCTCTTACCTGAAAGTATTTAAAAGAGAGAGAGAGATTTAGTGATTTTAGGTCTTTCATTGCATTGTGGTTTGGGGCCTTATATAATCATCTTAGGCAATGTCAGCAAGAAGGCCTAATCAAGATCTGTTGGGAAAGAGCTGTGAAGGAGAGACTTTCAAACGTTTTCATCCATGTGTCATTTGATAAAGATAATATAAAAGGAAAAACTACCCCAAAGTGAGGTCAAAGAAACAAAAGAAAGCAAGCGAAAGGTTTAAGAAGGATAATAATAAATCCACAGTAATTTAAAAAGACAACAAATTTAAGAAGGATAATAATAAATCCACAGTAATTTAAAAAGACAACAAATTAGAAAATCCATCAAGGGGGAGGTATGACAAATTTGATTTACGACAAATCCATTGCCTCTTCACCATTTCAAACTTTCACCCACCGTAAAAACTCCTCCCAGAATGTGGATGAACATTTTTCTGAGAGTCCCTGTGCTTTACAATTTTATTTTTAAATTATTTGTGTGTTTGTGTGCTTTACAATTTTAATGTCTCTGATTCTGTGCCAATAAAGGAAGCTGAAGAAGAGTTTTACCTCCACCCTGAGATAACAGGATGACAAAAGTGATAGTATCACAATGTTGATTACTCTATATCTGTGTATGCCACTGGTCACATTAAGCCTTTTAATGTATTATCACATATAATCCTTTGAGTGTAAGTCCAAATACATACAATTTCCACGGTAATCAGGCTCAAAACCTGTATTGTTTTTTCCTCTTATGACTTCCTTCACTAATTTCTCATTCCTCAATGTTCCATCTCTGCCAACCAACAATTTTTTCTCAAATTTATGAGCTTGTTTTATTATTTTTTTAGATTCCACATATAATTGATAGTATGCAATATTTGTCTTGCTTTGTTTTCACTGGACATATTGCCCTCAAGATACAGTCATGTTCCCACAATGGCAATATTTTGTTCCTTTTGATGGCTGAATAATATTCCACTGTATAACATATACCAATTTTTTTTTGACTGAGGTTACATTAGTTTACAGCATTGTATGTGATTCAGAGGCATAAGATCACACATCTTCAGATGCATGTCACCTCACCACACCTAAAGCTAAAGTGCCCATAGTTCTCCATAGTAGCCCATCATGTTGTCTCCCCTGCTTTTCCTTCCCCTGCGCCCAGAAGCCTCAATTAGATTTCTAGGATTTTTTATTGATTCACCTTTGTTTGACTCTTTGTTTCTCTCTAGTCCAATATTAGAGAAACAATCCAGTATTTGTCTTTCTTCTTCTGACTATTTTACTTAGTATAATCCTCTCCAGTCTTCAGTTCTATCCATGATTTTGCAAATAAAGATTTCATCCTTTTTATACACTTTTTTGTGTGTGAATACACACATAAACACACACCTTCTCTTCCTAATCTACTCATTTTGTACTTGGGCACTTAGGCTGTTTTCATAACTTGGTTATTGTAAGTAATGTTGTAATGAACATAGCACTGCATCTACTCCTTTGAATTAGTGTTTTTTTGCATTCTTCAGGTAGACATCGAGGGGTGAACTAGCTAGATAATATAGATGGATCTATTTTTAATATTTTCAGAAATCTTATTGTTTCCCATAGGGGCTGGGCCAGTCTACATTCTCACCATAGTAAGAGTTTCTCTTTTTTCATGACCTTACCAATACTTGTTTCTATTCTTTTAGGTGACAGCCATTCTCATACTATGAGGTAGTATCTCATCTCACTATGGTTTTGATTTGCATTTCCCTAATTGGTAAGTGATGATAAGGATTTTTTTCATGTGCCTATTTCATATTTCATGTATGTTTTCTTTGGAGAAGTTGTCAGTTCTTCAGCCTACTTTGAGTTCTTTAAAGATCGTGGATATCAGCCCCTTGTCAGATGTATGGCATGCAAATATTTTTTCCTATTCAGTAGAGTGTCTTTTTGTTTTAATGATAGTTTCTTCTGCTATAAAGAAGTTTTTTACTTTGATGTAGTCCCATTTGTTTCTATTTAGTTTTGTTTTTTTCTTGTTCTTGGTGATGAATTCACAAAGACATCACAGAAGCTAATGTTGTACTTTGCCTCTTTTCTTTTTTCTTCAATGTATTTTATACTTTAGGGTCTTATATCCAAGTCTTTTATCTATTTGGAGATTATTTTTATGTGAGGTGTGTGATGTGATCTAGTTGCATTCTTTTTCATGTTTCTAATTTCCCCAACTCCACTTGTTGAACAAACTCTCCACTTGTATTCTTGATTCCTTTCACAAGAAAGGATGTGTGGGTTTATGTCTGGGAACTCTATTCTATTCCATTGGTCTGTGTGATTTTTATTCCAGTACTATACTATTTTGATGAACATAGCTTTGTAGTATAGTTTGAAGTCTGGGAGTATGATACCACTGGTCCTTTTTTTGTTAGAATTGCTGGCTATTCAGGGAATGCCACTGCAATCAACATGAAGGTACATATACATAGTTTTTGTCATCTTCAGGTAAGTAGGTAAAATTGGAAATGCTGGATAATAGACAAGTTCAATTTTAATTTTTTTGAGGAGCTTTCATACTGTTTTACATAGTGGCTGCACTAATTTAGATTCCCAACAGTGTCCAATGATCTCATTCTCACCAACCCTTATTTCTTGTGTCTTTAATAACAGTTGTTTTGATTTGCATTTCCCAGAAAAGGACACTGGACATCTGTAGCAGATTACTAGGCATATTTAACAGCTAAGGTGAGCTTCACATAAAATGTTAGGGCTAGCTAGTAAGTGGCAGAACCAGGATTAAAACTCAGTTCCTTTTTGACTCCTGCGTTCATGCTTTCTTATTCAACTTATTCATTAAACCTGCATAGGGCACCTGCTACAGGCCAAGCATTATTCCAGATGACTGCTCACTGTCAAAGGCATCAGGTACTCTTGGAAAGCAGAATTGATTTACTTAGTTTAACATCCTTAGGGTATGGTCAGCTATCTGTGCATTACAGATGTTATTACTCAAAACATCCCTCAAACAAGAAACAGAAAACTGGCTGCTCTAAACAGGAAAGTAAACTAGTTTTGAGAAGATCTATAATGTGGGTTCTGCCAAAAGCAGAGCTCAAAAAATCAGGGTTAAAGTGGTATGTGCTACACACTTCTTCAAAAGAATCTGTTGATATGATTCAAAAGCCACAAATATGTCCATTGTACTTGATAACAAAAGTTTTTAAAATTCTCTTGTGGCGGCCCTCCCTGGTGACGCAGTGGGTCAAAGCACTGCACTACAAAGCTTACTTTAAGCCACTCCCGCATGAGTTCGATTCCCGCCTGCCCAGGAGGAGTCCACATGGCGTGGCAGACCTCTCCTGACCCGCCCGCTGCTCCCCTCAGCATTGTACTTCATCGATCTGCCTGTTCTGCTCCCCACTCTGTCTCTGGTGAATCCTCTCACCCTCCGCATCTCTGGCCTGTACCCCAGTTCTATATGAAAAAATAAATAAAATCTTTAAAAAAAAATTCTCTTGTGGCTTTGAAATTTCATTTTAAAGAAGTTATAGAAAACACAGAAAAATTGTATGAATAAAGTGGGAGTGTTCATGTTAGTGTTATTTTGTAAACACCTAAATGGTGATTGCAACCGAAGTTCAAAGAGGGGAGAATGATGACAAATGATCACACAAACTGCTTAAGAATTTAAAAGTTAGTAAAAGCATAAAAGTTATGTAACTGCTGTGAAAAATGCACACTTACATAAGACACAGAGAAGAAAGCAGAATTCAAATCCATCTGCTATGATTACAAATATGTAAAAGTGTTTTTTAAAAGGCTGGAAGTGAACACTTTAAAATTCTATTTGCTGTTTGGAGTCGAGTCACAGTTGGGCCTGTCCCTTCACTTTTGGTACCACTGTTTCTTCCGGAGTTTCTAAATGGTTTTCATAATAGCAAATGCCTTCAATATTGGAAAGAACCAGAAGCAAGATCTAGCCCCAACAACTAGGGAAAGCTTCCCTAGTTCTAGAAACTCAGCTCCCCGAGTTTCTATGACCATTCGTCATTATTCTCTCCTCGTTGAACGCAGAGGTTGCATTCACCTTTTAGATACTTACTGAATAACACTAACATAAACACTCCCACTTTATTCATATAATTTTTCCATGTTATCCTAGTTTATCAGAGGCTGGTCAAGTGATTAGAAAACTCAAACAGAAAAATGGCTTTGCAAAACAGGATGCAGAGCCCAACTGGTGATCACATACAGTGATGGTGACAATGGGGAGCATTCCAGAAACCAAGGAAGTGAAGACAGGAGAGTAGACATTAAAGCAGAAGGAGCCCGGGGAGGTGGTTGGCACAGCCACTGGCTCAATGCTTAGTTAGGCAGGTTCCCACCTGCAGAGGGTGGAGGCGTCTCAACAGTGCTGTCCTGAGTCCGCATGTGCCGCTCACAGCCTCAGCATCCCTGCTTCTCTGACACTGTGGCCCTAAGCACTGCTCTGCTGAGAGCTCTTGGCATCCCGAGTGACACTGTGACGTGTAGGTGGCATCCCAGCCACCACAGAGTGATCACGCCCACAGTCTCTGAACAGAGAAAGCTGAGGCTCATCATGAGGACCTGGGTGCCATGAAGGCCTCTGGGATAATGGAAGATGAGGTCCTGTTCTCAAACTGAGCAGCACCTCAGAATCACCTGGGGAGCCTGGTAAAATATTTTTTGAGGTTTTGTCCTTGATTTTGATTTAATAGTTTTTTTTTTTAAGATTTATTTATTCATCTACACAGAGCTGGGGTACGGGCCAGAGGTGCAGGGGCAGTGAGAGGATTCACCAGAGACAGAGTGGGGAGCAGAACAGGCCGACTGACAAGTACACTGCTGAGGGGAGCAGTGGGTGGGTCAGGAGAGGTCTGCCGCGCCATGTGGTCACCTCTGGGGCAGGGATCAAACTCATGCTAAAGTGCTGTGCTGTAGTGCTGTGCTGTAACCCACTATGCCACAGGGAAGACCCTGATTTAGTAGTTTTATTTCATTCCCCAAACTCTATCTTTTTAACAAGTATTTGAGGGATTGGAGATATTCGGGAATCCATGAGCTAAGCAACGTAGTGTAATTCCAATGCTTAATATAGTATTTTTTTCCTTTACTAAAAATCAATAGTTTTAACAGAACATTTATTTAAGTAGAATATCTATTCCCAACAATGTCAGAAAAAGGAATATTTACGCTACCTGGTAATCCAACATGCAGAAGCTTGGAAAAAATTGACAAATTCGGGATTCAAAAAAGTAGGGGAAAATCCAGAAAATTGGTAGTTCCTTGGGGTTGTCATCTAGTGAATACAAATAAAGAAAAAGAGAAAATAAGAAGCTGAGAAAAAAGAAAAATAAAAACTCAAAAACTTGTGGCAGCAGCAGTAACTGCAATTGTTCAAGCCACTGTAGTTACCTAAGGAGAGAATGTTGCCAAAGTGCCACTTGCAACTGGACCTTCTCCCTAATCAGCGCAAGCTTCCCATCATGCCCCGACACTGCTACGAAGCCTATGTAAAAGTAATTCTTACGTGATTGCCACTTTGGTCTAGGAAAAGGCAAAGACAGTCTGCAAAAAAGTGGGAAATAAAAAAGCAGCAGCAGAGGTGGATCACAATGGGACCGAGGGGTCCTGGGCGAGGAGGCTGAGGCCGGGCGTCTCAGTCCTCGCTCCAGCATCGCCCATCTCCACTCCAGAGGTGATGCAAGCTAAATCATGGAAGATTCTTAAGAACAGTCTTAGCAAAATTAACTTTTAAGATAAGATGCAGTCAATACAACTATTATTACAGGCTGGCCACAAGGCTTTTTCTATTGTGTCCTCATAATAACCCATTGGGTCACAATAATCACCCCATTTTACAGATGGGGAAATGAAAGCACAGCCTTAATTAAGTCGTTTGTTCAAAGTCACACAGCTGGTGAGTGGAATATGATTCACAAAGCCGTCAGTGCTTCTTCAACACACTAATTTTATACACTCTGATAAACAAAGTTAATAAACAAAAACAAGTGAATTATTTAGAACTATCAGTCATGCTTTAATTTTTGTTTGAAGCTGTCCCCAAAACGCACTACGTGGCTGGCACAATTAATGGCCAATAATCTAGCACCTTGAATGCTGGAAACTAAGAAATGACTATCCTGACTTATACAGGGAAATCCTTGGAAGCCCTAACGCACTTTAAAGTGAGGAATGACCCCAGTCACCGGCCCTCCTACTACCAGTGTCCAGGTGCCACCAGTCACCTCTGTTAGGCCACTACATGTGCTGACTTCCCTGCTAAAGGGTGGCAGTTTAGGGTTCGGGTCAGCCGCTGGTGCCTACAAGATTGGACAAGACTTTAGGAGAGGGAAGGCAGGATCCAGGACAGAGACATACGGCTGTCTCATCCGCTGCTCTGTGGCCAGCACCAACAGCACGTGGCCCGCAGTGGCTACTCTAAGTCCTGGCTGAATAGCGTGACAACGGCTCACTGTTCCTCTTCATAATGTCCCCTTGGCCCATCTGAAACAAATAGTTTATCTATTAGTCTTTTAAAAAACAGAGATTAGGATGATGAAAAGGGTCTCACGATAATGAAAACGGCCACCTCATCAAATAAGCTGTTTTTTTAAAAAAAGACAAGAACCCCCGACCTGTCTATCTTATCAGGTCCCTGATTCACGGAGCTCTGCTAACATTTGACAGGAAGTAGACACATAGATACATGTCTATTCTGCAGTAAGTAATAGATCACACACCTTGTCTTTGACCTTCCTTCCATATAGCAATTAACTTCTTGAATGTAACAGCCAGAGGTTCAACCAAGCCACCAAATGGAGGGTCTGTCACCATAATAACTCCTTCACCTTTATCTTCCTGTAAAAAGGTTCTGCATACATCAAGGGCAGCCTGGAATAAATAAAAGTTAATTTCTCAATTAACACAAGTGGAAGGCCCTTCATCCTTTGGAAGAGAATGCATTAGGCTCCTCACTCGTGGAGCCTTCACCCATGCTGCCACCCCCTGCCCCGGTGACATCCTAAAGCTACTCTCGTTCAGTTCCAGGAAGATTTTTATCTTTGGGTTCTTGATAAGCAGGTTTTAAAATTGCAAATTCAAACGCCATCACTATCAGAGGACTACACATTTCAAATGGTTAAATTAAAAAACTAAATTTAGCAACCTAAAAGAGAGAAACTCATTACCCGTGAACACTAAAACACTAAACTCAATTCAACAAACAGAACCTGAGTCGGTGCTAACCCCTGGAGACACAAAGACAAAGAAGACATATTTTTGCCTGCCTGGTTTGCCCACTGCTCAGGAGTCCAGTTTAATAACAGCTACAAGTTACCAGTAAAACGTGCACATGCTTTTTGAGTACCAGGTAAATGACAGACATATTTGAACAGGCACACTAAGCAAATAAGTAAAAAGTCACAGGAAACAAAGCTTATCCAGGGCATGGAACCAACAAACAGATTGAAGTGTTTTTATAACTGCAAAGTTAACATTGACCACTGTCTAGGGTATTTATCATTTTTTTTTGCTTTGGGAGAAGTCGTAAGAGACTCCTGTAATATAGACTCTAGTCTACTGACTCTATATCAGTTTCGAAGCTCTATATTTCATCTGTAAACACAAACTGACACAGATTTTAAAGCTTACTGGCATTTTAAATGTTAATAAATCTATGTTTATAATAGAATACATACTTTTCTACTGCTGATTTTGATAATCTAGAAGATGAGAGGAAAAACTACTGTATCCTAATCCCTTTTTCTTAGAAAAGTCTTTATTAACTTCCTACTGGCAGCCTGACGGCAAAGGATGGCATGTCAAGAAGGTTAATCACTTTTCAAGAGCTGCCTGGCACTGCCTTGACCTGCCACCCCAACAAGGACTTCAAGTACAGAGGCTGTTATTGAAAGACCTTCAAATTCCTTAGAGTTAAAAGCATAAAAAAGAAAATTAACAAATAAACAATACCTAAACCCTTACTGAACTTCAAAACAAAACATCAAAGATCATCTCTCCAGTAAGAATCAATAGCATCAGGCCTCCCTGGTGGCGTAGCGGTTAAATCTCAGCGCTATCAAACTATTACCAGCCACTGCAGCCTGAGTTTAATCCCCGGCCCTGGAGGTGACCCACATGGTGCAGCAGACCTCTCCTGTCTCACCCACTGTCTCACCCTCCCTCCTGTACCCCTGGCCTATAGCCCAATTCTTACATGCATAAGTAAATAAAATAAATCTTTAATGAAAAATAAAAAATGACACGATGTCATCATGTCATTGAGCTGTGAAGGGTCCACATGTGACTGGCTACCTCTGGCAAGAGCTGGCTTACACCACCCATGTGGCTGGTGACTTGAAGAAGTGCTGGCATTGAAAACAGCTGATTCTCTACACAAACTTTAACCCCTTTTACCATTTAGCACATGACATTCTTTGCAACCCAAGAGGCTGTATTATTTGCTATGAGAAAACCCTGTGTGGGGAACTCCTGCCTTTTAATTCAGGTTACTGTGCAGTCCTGAGCTTCAATTCCCAGAACATCCTACATACCTTCATGGGGGCTGAGCAGACACATCAACACTTAGTGATTGAACAATACATGGTAAATAAGCCTTGACTTAGGAAGTAGGTAGAAAAGGGACAGATAGCAGAATCATTAAAGCAAGAGTTTTCCATAGATCAAGCCCTACAGTTGCAGTGCTACTTAGAGGCTGCTCCCAAAATGTAGAAAAAGGAAAACCTGAGCTGGACAAAGGTATTCTTCTGGGAAAGAAGAAGTGGAGCTCGGCCTTGGTGGCTTATTTTACCTTTCTTCTAGAACTTCTAAGACTCTGCTATAAACTTTCAACAGCAAGTTATGCAGATTTCCAAAAAAAAGTGCTAGATGAAATTGCTAGGCAACTGGTAGATGATAGTTAAATGTGATTTTGTTTTTGTCATTGTTTAAAATAAAAAGCAAAATCATGTTACAGTATTAAAAACAAAGACACAGCCCAACCGACTCCGGGCCTGCCATGGCAGCATCACACATCTGTGGCCTCCTCATCTAGGGTGTCACCAGGCCCCACCGCACCCCTGGTTAGCAGCTCAAGGCCCCACGGTATCCAGAAGTTGCACCGGACTGTCCACCTCACTCTTCCACCAGACCCACAAACATTTCCAAACTCCACTTCCAAACCTCCCGCTCTGTTATGAAGAATGAAATACAAACCCAGGCCAGACTGCCACACTGTCTCTGAATTCTCCCCGGCCTACTCACTGCCTGGTCTTTCTGTTTCTATCTGCGAATGTCTGCAGAACACACTTCCTTCCTCTCTCTCTGCCACTGTCCTGGCTGAGAAGTCCCTCGTCATCTCTTATTCAGTGATTTTTCACTGAAGTGATGTTTTCTAGGGTGAACTTTCCTACGCTCATCTAATCAGCTCTCAGATCCTAGTGATTACAACCGCATGTGCCCTTTGGGAAACAGAAACATGTCTGATTCCGACTGCTATTTATTTCAGTATTTGGTTTTCATGGCGTTCAGGGCTGAAAAATATATATCCCCATGCTAATTTGATTCTGGTGGAAGGTGAGCATCACTGACTATACTTACTAAATCAGGAGGCTCCTTTTTCGACCCCAACCAACAATTCTGAATTTGTTTTCATTTCCTGAGTGACTAGTTTTTCAGTCTTGCTTCGCCGTCATTCTGTCATTAGCTATTACCTTTAAAGCACAATATATAATTAAGCATGGCTCGCCATCCTTTTTTTTAAACTGATCTATACACATACACGCATGGGTGCTTATCAAGTCGTCGTCTTCACATTAACCAAACATTTGCTGATCTTTCAGGTGCAGTTACTTGGTTGTTTTGCAAGAGATCTGCTGTGCTGTTATCCAGAGTGACATTTTTAGCATCATGTATTAAAAGCTTTTTCTAAGCCACCATCCTTGTTTTTTAAAGACTACGTTTTGGAATCATTTTAGGTTCATAGCACAACCGAGAAAGGAGAAAGGTGTCCCACTACTCTCCTGCTCCACACAGACTGCCTCCCTCATTGCCAACACCCCCACCAGAGTGGGGCCTTTGTTACACCTGATGAGCCCGAGTGACACCTCATCATCATCCGTAGTTTACATTAGGGTTCACTCTTGGCGCGGCCTATTTTTTAAGGATGGATTTAATAAAATCATCAATCTCTTTAACCAGGCTATGACATTTATCAGGGTGGCAGACAACAAACAGCTAACCTCAGAATCCCTTTTTAATAACATACTGTAAATCTACAAAGGAGAGCTTGACTTTGTAAGGGAGTGAGGGGAAGGTGGAAATGTGACTTGAAGAGTGCTCTGAAAGTTGGGGTAAAGTTAATGAGGCAAAGAGAGAACAGAGGGCAGAAGGGGCAGCCTGGCAACAGCCCGGCTGGAGACAGGACCAGCTCGAGACCAAGTCGCGAGCGCTGAGCACCAGCAGCAGGTGGGGCAGGAAGAGAGGCCGGAGCGCGTGGGTCTGGGTAAGAGGGGGGGCCTTCTCCAAAGAGCGGGGGAAGTCCTGCAAGAGGAACTGCATGATTACTTCTAGATGAACAAAAGGAAAAGTCAATAAATGGTGGAACAGCCACAATCTGAGCTAGAAAAATAAAGAAGTTCTCTCAAACGCATCTTCCATAAGAAAGAGATAATGAATAATTCTTACCTTTCCATCAAAGAAGTGATGGTTAAACATGTTATAATGGCAAAAACTATCTTCCATATAAAACTGTGAATACCTGTAAAATAATTGGTTGATTACTAGAGTTACCTGTCCAGCAGGGCTGTAAATAAATATACACTCAATTTTAAAACTATGATATTACACTTTTAACAAATCACTTTTATCACTTCTTAACTTTTTGAAATAATACTTTCCCCAAATCTGAGGGAATCTGTACACTGAATACATAATAAAGTATTTTTCCAATTTTAAAGAAACTGTAGCAATACTACAGGATACTCATCTATAACATACTACTCATCTATAACTCATCATGTATCCTTATGAGTCCAAAGATTACATATAAAAATCACAGTATAGATTATCAAAGAAATGGGTTGGCAATTAAAAAACTTCTCTAAATATTTTGAAGAATTTTTTTTTAAATACTGAATCAACATTTCTACTCAAGAGTTGATTATTTTCTTCTGTAGTTAACAAAAAAAGTACTTAATACAAACTTTTTATCTACTGTAGATTAGTTCAATAAAACACATCTTCTCAACATAAAAAAATGAAGTGAGTATATTTCATATTTACTGAATTAATGCCAAGAGAGAAGAATGTTCACTGGCTGAAACATCTTATTCTTTTAACACGCTACTTTAAAATGCAATCAGCAGAACAAGAGTACCAGTTTTAGATATTAACATTTTATACATTTTGCTAATTTACCAGGCAAAATTCAAGCCACATTATGATTTAAATTTGCATCCATTTGATTTCTTTCAAGACTGGGCTTTCTTTAATCCTTGTTATTCCTATTTCTAGATATAGGTCCTAATGTCCTTGCTGATTCCTGAGATTGTTGTGTGACACAGACACCTCTGTTATTTCAAGGAGATTTTTGGACTTCCAACTTTTGCTATGAACAATTCACATACGAGCCAGTCCATCTTTCCGCAGAGTTCATAGCCCAGTGGAGAGACAGAGATCAGGCCCTCCCTGCGCCAGGGCTTCCTCGGGGGAGCGCCCAGCATGCTGCCCAACCCACCGCCCACGTCTCCCTGTGCTCTCAGCTCCCCACATGGGGTCTCACTGCTTCCTGGGCCACAGTGAGTGTCGCTGCAGCCGGCGACTCTGGTTTTTCTTCTTCTGACACTGGGGTCAAGAGCAGTGGCTCTATCATGAATGACACGGTCAGTTGTCAAATTCTGAGTGGGTAACTACATGTATGAATTTAGTAAATTAAACTATGTGAGTCTCAGGTTATTCAGCTACAAAACGGAAAAAAATAGCTTTTTACCTCATTGAACTTGGTAAGAATAAATGAGGTAAAGCACACAAAGTGGTTAATAGGATCCTAGCTACACAGCTTTTGCTAAAAATGTTAGGATATCGTTATTTTAGTAAACAGCCGCTAGAAAAATTTATGTCTTCATGTCCCTACATTGGAGAAATACGTTTATCTCCAACCAAAATTACTCCTCCTATAATATAAACTTCTTATAATATAATATAAACTTATATAATATAAACTTCTTATAATATAAACTTCTTCTTGTTCTATGGAGATGGAATAATGTCTTGTTACCGCTCTAAGTACAATATCCTCAGCATCATTTAAGATATTATTATCTTAGTACATCTGATGATTTCATAAAATATGAATTTGTAGTGAAGAAATAAGACAAAGGTTCAGATAATTGAAAAATATTTACACTACATGCTGTAATCTGATAAACATTTCAAAATCTGTGTGACAAAATCAATTACCATAAATAAATAATTACCATAAATATACCCACTCAACACACACAGGGTCAGTTGCTGTACACACAGATGTACCTCACTACTAGTCAGAGTGTGTCACCTGCCATTCAAGAGTTTTTTGTTTTTTGGGTTTTTTTTACTGTCTTGCATCTTTTTAAATATATTTTTGCCCCCTCTCCATTTTTTATTGCTTCACAGAGGCATAATCATTTTTTATTAAAAAGAGAAAATTTCATTTACATAAAATTCAGCCCAGCACACATGTCCAAAATAGCCTAGGTAGCAGAGGGGCAGAGCCAGAGAGAAAAAAGCCAGGATTTCGACTCTAAGTTTCCACCAAATACAAACAAGGGACCATAATTTTTCATATTTTAAATTATGAAAAATCACTTAACATTACCCACTTAAAATGGAATTGGACACAAAGAATTATTCTCTCCATTGACTAAGACAAACAAAACCAATCAGGAGCACGGGCTCTTGAAAACGGCTCAAAAGGACATTCATTTAATTTGGCCATTCATTCTCCTTAAATGGAGTCAGCTACCAAGTGTGAAGCAGGCTCTACACACAGGAAATGCAATCAAGAGCTGAATAAAATTAGCTCATGAAACGAACCTAAGAATTTCTCTTCTTTCCTTTTGACATAACTTTATTTGGATGATAGTTTGCTAAATAGTCTCACATCTTTCATGCTAAAATTAGAGCATCTAGAAATCCGTCTTAGGAAATGTTAAACTCAAACCTGAAAGGAAGTGCCCCTGTGTTGAGGCAGGGTTCTGCAACCTTGGACAGACCTTCTGTGGGGAAACAGCAATAAAGCAAAGTCAAAGTGCCGGGAGCAACTATTCCCTGCCATTCTTTTTTTTTAAAGATTTATTTATTTATGTTTACAGAACAGGGGTACAGGCCAGAGGTGTTGTGGGGTGAGAAGATTCACCAGAAACAGAGTAGGGAACAGAACAGGCAGCTGCACTGAAATACACTGCTGAGGGCAACAGCAGGTGAGATAGGACAAGTCTACCACACCTCCCTGCCATTCTTAGACACAGGAATTATGACCAGATTTAACTGTGGCCCTTGTGAGAGATCTGAACCAGCCAGTACATACTAATGTACTTCAATCGGCCAGCTCCCTCCTAATATCCAATGTTAACCTTGTTCAGAGATGATCAACTAACAAACTACAGTATCAACAAACTAAATGAGGTAGAATATCCCCAACACAACATACTTAGCTTCTGTTTGCAACACAGAGAGAAGTTTAGACCTGAAAAAAATACCAATGTATTCTATTATTACGAAATACATGTATCCCTTACTCTGGCAAAGAGACTTCAACTATAGGCTCAGTTAAAGTAAAACTACCAGGCATGGCACCTAAGGCCAAAAAGAAAGGGGCTGTATAAACCTTCCAAATCAAAGGTAAATCAGGTAAGATGAAGAGTTGATGAATGTACCTAGCTGATTTAACACTACTAAACAATATGCTTAAAATGGGTTAAAAGCTAAAATTATAAGACCCTTAGAAGAAAGTACAGGTATAAATATTCATGACCTTGAATTAGGTAATAGTTTCTTACCTAAGACACTTCAAACACAAGTAACCAAAGAAAAGAGAGAAAAACTAGACTTCATCAAAAGTGAAAAGAAAACCCACATCGGGAGAAAATATTTGTAAACCATGTATCTGCTAGTATCTAGTACCCAAAATACATTGAGAATGCTTTTAGTTTAACAATAGAAAGACAAATAATCCACTGGAAAAATAGGCAGAGGATCGAATACATGCCACCCAACAGTTCGACAAATGGCCCATAAGCACATGAAAAGATGCTCATTATCATTACCCATCAATAAAATTTAAAATAAAGCCACAATGAGATAAAGAACAGATAATAATAAGTGTTGGTAAGGATGTAGAGAAATCAAAGTGCACATAAATTCTGGTGGGATTGTAAAATGGGGCTTTAGAAAACAGTTTGATAGTTCCTCAAGAAGCTAAACATAGTGTTATATATGACCCCCTAAATCTACTCCTAACACATATACCTATGATGGGTTGAACTATGTTCCTCCAGAATTCATCTCTAAAATCCCTAACCTCGTACCTCAGAATATGACTGTATTGGAAAAGGGCTTCCAAAGATGCTACTGAGTTAAAACGAAGTCTATAGGACGGGCCCTAAAGATATGATTGGTGTCCTTCCAAGAGGAGAATTGGACATACAAGGAAGACACCAGAGATGGGCAGACCACATAAAGACACAGCGAGAAGATAGCCTTCTGCAAGCTAAGCTGAGAGGCTCAGAAGAAACCAAACCTACCAGCAACTTGAGTGTAGAAACTTTGTGGAAGACAACTAAATTCCTGTCTTTTAAATCACCCAGTCTATTGTATTCTGCTATACTAGTTCTAGCAAGCTAACACAATACCTATAGACATGACAACATACATGCACATGAAAATCTGTATACAGATGTTCATAACAGCACTATTCAAAATAGCCAAAAAGCTATTTGAAGTAACTCAAGAAGTAACTGAAATATCTATGATCAGCTAAGTGGACAAGTTAATTTGGCAGATCCATACAAAAGAATATTACTCGGTCACAAGAAAGAATGAAGGCCTGACATATGCTACAATATGAATGAACTATGAAAATATTATGATAAGCAAAAAGAATCCAGACTCTAAAAGCCATACATTGTATGATTCTATGTGAATCCAGCCGCTGAAAGTACACTAGTGGTGGCCAGGGGCTCCAGGAGAAGACATGAGAAGAGGCTGCTTATGGGGACAGAGTTTCCTTCGAAGGTGATGGAGATACTTTAACAGTGGTAAGCTCACGGATACATTAATTAGTGATTCTGTTTTTGAAAAGCTGCATGATCCTATTAACCACTATGTGTACTTTACCTCATTTATTTATGCTTACCAAGTTCAATGAGGTACAAACTATGATTTTTCCATTTTGCAGATGAAGAACCTGAGACTCACACAGTGTAAGTTCCTAAATTGACACATGCAATAAGTGACCCACTCAGAATCTGACACCCTGTCATGGCAGAGCCAGTGCTCCTGACCCCCGTGTCAGTGAAACACAATGTGCACATCCTCTGGTACAATAAATTAAAATGCATGTCTTCTGCTCCAACACCACGATGAACTAAAACCCCAGAAAGTTCAAATAATTTTGAAAAATAATTCTGTGAGAAGAAATGTTCACCCTGTCAGAATTTATTTCTAAGCGATAAGCCAAAGACAATTAGACACATTCACAGAGATTTCGGAGGCCAACAGCAAGGAGAGAAATCCACTGCCTCCCTGTCTGAAGTATAGAAGATTACAAGTGGAGCTCACGGGACTAAAAGGTTGCTTACAACCAGTTACTGTTTCTTAAATGTTAAAGGGTTATCATAAGGTCACAGTAAGAGAAAAATATTAAAAATAAAAAAACCAGGAGATAATAAAGGAGAATATTATATACTTTGTAATGACCTACCGAAAGTCAATATCCAGTAGAAGGCTTTTAAGGTTAAACTTCACGTCACCTGATGCTTTCAACCTGATCAGCTCATGCAACCTAGAGCAATTAGAGAAAGCAAGTTTAATAGGACATGACAAAGGCCATACAAAACAGCAAACAAACAAGTCAACCATCAACCCCTCCTTCCAGTTCCAATATTTCCCAGAAACACTGAGGAGACTTTGGCAGCAACCAAGGTTTCAGTTTTGCAAATAATTTATAAAGGGCAAAACAAAGAAGTCGAAAATTATAAACCAAATTCATGAATCAAGTCAGAAAGACTCGCATACAGCTGACCTCTCCAGGGACTTCTCAGAGGGCCACAGAGGTGGCCCCTGCTCACATACTCACACCTCTTCGAACTCTCACCTTCACGCTTGGCCCTGCACACGCTCCATCACCAAAGGCACATTTTTCTCAGGGCTTAAACAGCAGCAAGCAGAAAAGAGTTTAAAAGTCATGGGCTGTACCTGGGTGTCCCGACACACAGTGCTCTTCTGAATCCAAGCGAAGAGAACAGGTCTATCAAGAACCGACAGGTCCTATCGGCAAACAAATACTGCGCATTTGTCTTCTTGTTCTCCAGGGGATAAAGCAGCTGACTGGGCCTTTTTAACTGGGTGACAGAAACGTTGCTCACCACCGGATGCCCAGGGTGATCCTCCCACTCGTCTGGTAACAGCAACTGCTGGCATTTTTGACAAAATGTTCTCTGAGACAAGGGCAGCTCAATAAACCTCAAGTACCTTCAAGACATTTATTAAAAAAAAAAGGGGGGGGTATATGTTAAGATTGTTTTTTTTTTTTAAGATTTATTTATTTATGCATACAGAACTGGGGTACAGGCCAGAAGTGCAGGGGCAGTGAGAGGATTCACCAGAGACATAGTGGGGAGCAGAACAGGCAGATCGACAAAGTACACTGCCGAGCAGGTCAGGAGAGGTCTGCAGCGCCATGTGGTCACCTCCAGGGTGGGGGTCGAACTCGTGCTGAAGTGGCTTTAGCTTCTTAGTGCTGTGCTTTAACCTGCTGCACCACCAGCGAAGGCCCAGGATTGTTGTTTTTAAAGACAATTTGTTTTTACTATTTTTAGTATGCAACAAGCATTCACTTCCTAAAGAGTACTGCACGAAGAAGCAAAGGTGAGGGGGAAAATCTGTGGACTTTTGGCTAGAACTTATGTCTGGCCACACACCCACTGAATGAAAAGAATCAGCAATTTCATAAGAATTGAGATGTACCAATTGAGTCAATGAATGAAGATCAATATTCACTTACAATGTGAATCTAACATATTACTCAAACAACTTTGTAGTAATGGAGACTATCAGGTTTAAATTTATCAACAAATCCATGTGTTCTAACTCTGAAGTGTTAAACAACCTGGCTTAGTATGACAGTCATTTTAAAATGAGAAATTAGATCATTCTTCAAGTTCTTGTGGCATATTTAGGAAGAAAAATCATCTCCTAAAAAAGAAAACGTTCCTGCAAAGCTCCGTGATTCTTAGCAGTTCTGATGGAGGTGGTTCTGAGAAGTTTAGTCCCTAATCACCCAACAGGCAAAGAGTATTCAAAACTTTACAAAAAAAAAAACCTATACAGAATTGTTAGTCTTTTGCAAATCAACTTTATATCTGACTTCAGTGATACCTTTTCATACTCTTTTCATTTTATTAGAGGTGATTAAAGAAAGAAAATAATCACAGTATATTTACAAAATTGCTGATTTTGAATATGTAATACCAGTTATGAAATCAGCAAAGAAAACAGATGAGAAAGAAATAAGTTTATCAAGACTCAGAGAGGATCAGAAATGTCAACATCCAACAAGGATGCTAAAGGCTTCAAAGACAGAGGCTGTTACATGGTTTCAAGTGATCAAATCTGTACTAGAAACTGAACAATGCTGAACCCAAGAGGTCTGAAAACTTTCCATCTGTGAAAGCAGTTTCACTTTAAAGCACCAGGCAGTACAAAGAGCTGTTCTGAGTGGCCGCGGCAAGAAATAAGCTTATCACATCAGAAATTTAAATACTTCTAGTTCTATGATAACTGTTGTCTTACAGCCTTGTCTAGGACTGAAAGAGAGATCTAAGAAGAAACTTTTACAGTAATTACAAGCAAAACTGTCACTAGAGAAACATATTTTTAGATAAAATTATATAATATCTAGATCAGAAGTCAGGTTATAGGGTACAGGTGATAAAAATGAGCCTCATACTGATAACGGATAAAGTTGGTATGGATGCAGGAGGCTCTTATACCATCCCACTTTTGTGTATGCTTGAAACTTAGCAAAGTACTTCAAAGTACATAAGTTAAAACACAAAGTTAGTGAGCAAAAATGGCTCCAGAAAATGACTAAGCAAGAATGGGATTATATGCAGCCTTAGTGTTTCATTCTTTGGTAACAGGAAATGAATCTCAACAACTTCTTAGAACTAAGTTTCCAGTTTGAAAGGCTCTACCTAATCCCCAGCAAGACAGAAATAAAAAGAAGAAAAAAAAATCAAAGTGGATCGCGATGAAAAGTTGCACCCCTGGAAATAAAGAGATTCAAAAGCATGACAGGATCAGCAGATCACAGGTCATAAATGAGAGACAAGGAATACATTTGAACTTCTCAACTACCATAATGAAGACGTAAGAAAACAGAGCATTGCCTTCCATATTCTGAAGAAAAGTATTTCGTACCTAGGATCCTATCATGCGCATAGGTATCAATCAAGTATCAGCATAAAAGGAGTCTCAGAAATGCAAGATAACAAAATTTTTACTTCCTTCTACACGTTCAAGAAAAAGACTAAGGGAATTGTTGGGTGGTAAAAATCAGGTTGGCTTTACAAATCAACTAAGCCCATGCAACTCTAGACCAGCACCCCCAGAGGGTGGCATGCCCCAGCACTGGCTGCCACGAATACCAGCTCCTGACGAAACAACACAGATACCAAGAGGCTACGTGGGGAGACTTAAACAAAAGAAACAACATGCTTTGAGGTCTGTTCGATCCTATTACAAAAAAAAATCTCTGGGCTTATCATCTTTTTATTTTATTTCCTAATCATTTATTTTTTTAATTTATTTTTACTTATGTAAATAAAAACTGGAGTGCAGGTCAGAGTTGTGGGGAGGAGAGTGAGAGGATCCACTAGACACAGAGTGGAGAGGGAGAACAGGTGGATCTACTGAAATATACTGCTGAGGGGAGCAGAGGGAGACAGGAGAGGTCTGCTGTGCCATTCGGGTCACCTCCCTGGCTGGGGATTGAACTCAGGCCGTAGTGGCTGGTGATAGCTTGATAGTGCTGAGACTTTAACCTCTGTACCACCAGGGAGGTCTCTAATCATATAAGCCCAAGTAGAAGCGTTAGAAGGAGAAGAGGGAAGGGGATATAGTGTAAGTATATTGGTTTCCTCGTGTTTTAGAGCCAGAGGCTCTCGACTGAAAATTCATGCTGCACAGACACAAATAATATTCAAAGACAAAAAGCTTAACTCTAAAAGGAATTATCAATAAAAATTTAATAGCAATTATAGAGAAGGAAAGATAGGGAGAAGATAAATATGCTAAGTTTATCATTTCTCATTTCAGATAGATGAAGAGAACCTAAAAAGGGGAGATTAAATATGAGTATAAAAAGTTAGAATGGCAACCATTAGAACAAAATTAAGAATAATCAATGTTAAAAAAAAAAAACACTAACGTGAGAATAGAAAGAAGCAATAAAACAGAAAACACAAAATAATACAGCAAAACTAAGGCAAGCATACCTGCATATTTACTATGAAAACCAAACTAAAAACTAGCCATTAAAACAAAGGCTGTTATGCCCCAGATCACAAAGGAAAATCCAGTAACTCTAGTTCTTCCCTTCTGAGATGCATATTTTTTCACATGTTAGTTAGCATCTACAGTTGAGATCTGGTTCCTAACCTCCGTCAGTCAGGAGGTCAGAACAGACCTGGGTCGGTGTGCAAAGCTGGTCCTCACCCTCAAGCTGTCATCTCTCCTTTACCTGACACAGTCTGAACAACACATGGGTGACGCTGCCATGCCCATGACTCAGCCCTGACAGTTACTGTGCCTACATTCCGGTCCCCTGGGGAGGGTAACAGGGCAAACCCTGACGTCAGAGAAGTACACTTTCATTGTTGAAAGGAGTAAACAACCGTGAAGGCCCGTACAAAAGAAAGGAGAAAGGAAGATCCTCAGGTCAGTGAAATTGTACCAGGTCCTGCGCTCTGAAACAGTCCACAAGACTGCATGCCACACACCAAGTGAGAGAAGATGCAAATCAGCAGAAAGAGCTGAAAGTGAGACACTACCGGCCATCTCAGCCGTCTCGGGACACTCAGTGCTTTAAGTTAGATGCTTGAAAGTGGAAGACTGCTGAATGAGCCTTCTCTTAGATCTGTGTGCTGTTGAACTTGTCCTTCTGATCATTTAGTCAAATTTTTTAGCTTCGTACATCTTGTGTATCTTTCTCTCTACCCAAAAATCACATCATAATCTCTCAACTATACTGCTTTAAATTAACATCCAGAAACACGGATTGTTCAAGATTGGTCGGAGAAACCCAGGACCAACAAGACCCAGGATTTCTCAGTGCTACCCCTCGTGGGAACTCCCTACACAGCCCCTGGGGAGAAGAAAACCATTCTGCTGCATCGCTCAGCATGGCTCACAAATTGCAGGCTAGCATTTTGAAATGTCATTTTTATTGATCTCCATTTGATGATCCATTTGCCTTTCCTGGAGTAGACAAATTATGTTTATGGCATTTCCCTAATAGCAAGCCTTGAAAATCCGAGTTTAAATGAGCTCTAAAAAACACAACCAAATGAAATATCAGCTAAACAAAACTATCTCGGTGCACATAAATTAATGCTGATTTTAGCATTAAAATACATCTTCCCTAAGATTATAGGTCACACACAAGACAGCTAATGCACAGCACAGGAGAGTAACACATTCCAGGCAGAGCAGGCTGCTCAAAACCACAAGGAATCGCACAAAATGTTAAGCTGTCAACTGAATACATGAAATATAAGGCATGGTTCATAGTGTGAGATTAAAAAAATGAGTATCAAATCCAATTCAGTGGATGGCAGAAATCTGTGCAATACTACCAGTTCCAGAATAAAAAGTCAAGAGAAATCGGCCAGCAGGAAATACTACAAAATGACCCAAGTAAGAAACCATTGATAATATTCATACTCTACTTTCTTCATCTTTGATATCCTATTTTATCCAACCATGATCATCTCACTATGACATATCTCCCTGTAGCTCCTTCATTTTATCTCAGTTCTCCTCAAATTATTATGCATTATTCATTTCTAGCATTTATATTTAAAAATAGTGTTTAGCGGGCCCTCCCTGGTGATGCAGCGGGTTAAAGCGCAGCACTAAGAAGCTAAAGCCACTTCAGCATGAGTTCGATCCCCGCCTGCGCCAGAGCCCCAGAGTTGATCCATATGGTGCAGCAGCCCTCTCCTGACCCACCCACTGCTCCCCTCAGCAGTGTACTTCCTCAGTCAACCTGTTCTGCTCCCCACTCTGAATCCTCTCACTGCCCCTGCACTTCTGGCCTGTACCGGAGTTCTGCATGCGTGCATAAATAAATCTTTACAAAATAATAATGTTTAGAATCAGAAAGGCATACATCTGAGTCACAACAAGTACTCTAGTAGTAGGAATGTGAGGAAGTTACTCAACTTTTCCAAGCCTCAATTTTCTCATCTAAGTAAACGAATGAGTCATGGGGCAAATGAGGATAATCAGAAGGCTTCAGGGACAGTGCAGGTGGGACTTCCCGACAGCTCAAGAACCTTCAGCGATAAGGGCCACAGGAGGAATAAGCAAAGATCCCGAGATAAGGGAAACAAATTCTAAAGGGAGCTAGTCAAACACCCCAGGACTAGAGGCAACAGAACTTTCCAGATCAAGGATGGCAAGAGAATCGTATGCCCGAAGGTAAGGGATGCAGGACAGGAAGATCCCAAGCGCCGAGGCGTGTTAAGTGAGACACCAGGAGCTAGCCAACCACAGAGCGATGGCTGCAACTTTACAATGCTGAGGGAAAGACTCTGAGGCACCGTCTTCGCCCCTCCCGTGTGAAGGAACTGTCCTTTTTCCTTTAAGAAACCCCTCTAAGACAAGGGCTGCTTCTCTGCTTACTCATCGGAAGACCCTGTGAGTTCCTTTTTACCACGCCGGAGACGAGCACCGCGGTCTGACCAGGGTGGAAAGCAGCAGCAGCCGTGCTCAGGTAACTGCGCATACCAGCATCACTGCCATGGCGGGACTGATACCACCACTCAGTGCACCTGGCACAGTGCCTCATTCACAGTAGTGCCCAATTTACACTAAATCCCTCCCCAGGTTTGTCGTTGTTGCTGTCTGCATTCCAGTACAGTAAGTGGGCATCCCTGATCCAGTACTTGGGTTAAGGTCAATCAAGTTACCTCCAGAAAGTCCCCCTAACAGCACTTAGGATTCCACTCACATCTGGAAGATAAAGAAACAAAACAAACTTTCAGATTTTAAGTAGAAAATGGAGGTTACCGAAAGACAAAAGGGAGGTGTAAGTTGGATAAAGGATAAACTGAATGGTGTAGATGACAACTGGATTTTGTTGGTGATCCTAACGTACTACACACGCGGCAAATTACAATCTAAGCACCTATATATAAACCTAGGTGATGTTTTAAACCAATGTTACTTCATTAAAGAAAAGCATCCATCGAGGGACTTTAAAATCCACTAAGAAGTGCAAGAAAAACACTTTTAATAGAGTCCAGGACACCTTTCCACTTGGCCTGGCTAAGACTTCGGAATCCTGCTAAGCACAGCAGCCCGGAGAGTCAGAGGGAGTTCCACTGAAGGTGAAAACCTATTTGGCATTACCAAGCAGAGCAAATAAGGAATTTCTCCCAGCAAATATAGCACAAGGGACTTCTTTAGGAGTTCCTCCTAGCAAATAGAACACAAGGGTTTATTTTCAAAAATAGGATGAATTCTTTTCACAGGCTCATCACAGAATTAAATCTATGACTTTAACTTCCATTCACCCAAAAAACACTTTAACAATGCAGAGTTCTTAAATTGATGTTTATAGCTTACAAAAATGCTTTGCTTCTTTTAGTATTTCAAAAAGAAACATTACAATAAATTTCAGATACATCATCAAAAGTACAAGAAACCCAGGGCCTTCCCTGGTGGTGCAAAGGGTTAAAGCACCACACTATGAAGCTCTCCAAAGCCACTGCAACATGAGTTTGATCCCCGGCCAGGGAGCTGACCCACATGGTGCAGCAGACCTCTTCTGACACGCCCACTGCTCCCTTCAGCAGTGTATTTCAGTACATCTGCCTGTTCTGCTCCCCCTCTGTCTCTGGTGAATCCTTTCACCCCCTACACCCTGGCCTGTACCCTAGTTCTTGTATACATAAATAAATAAATCTTTTTTTAAAAAAAAAGTACAAGCAACCCCCCAAAAGACGAATAATAGGATTTCATAAAAATTCAAAACTCTTATAAGTCAAAGGGTATCATGAAGAAAGTGAAAAAACAGTGTACACAAATATTTCCAAATCACATGTTCAAAAGGGTATTCAGAATATATAAAAAACTCCTATAACTCAACAGCAAAAGATAAAACCCTCTTCAAAATGAACAAAGCCCTTGAATAGATATTTTCCCACAGAAGACATACAAATGGCCAGCAAGTATATGAAAATATGTTCAACATGATTAGTAATAAGGGAAATAAAAAACAGCACAAGGACATACTACTTCATAACTAGTTGGATGGCCATAAACGAAACACAGAAAATAGTAAGTGTTGACAATAATGTAGAAAAATTAGGACCCCTGTGTTGCTAGCAGGAATATAAAGTCGTATGGCCATTGTGGAAAACTGTTTGGCAGTTCCTGCAAACATTAAACACATTTGATCCAGGAATTCCATTCCAAGGTATAAATAGCCAGAAGAAATGAAAACAGTAACCTCAGATATTTGTATGCTAATTGTCATTCACTGTAGCATTCTTCAGGACACACAAAATGTGGAAAACAACACGTGTCCACTAACTGAATCAAAAAATAAACAAACTGATTATTAGGCAGCCATAAAATGATGAAGTTCTGATATATGCCATAATATAGACGGGCAAATATTTTCTGATGTCACGTACATAGGTTACCTAGTCTAGTCAAATTCACAGAGACAAAAATACATTAGAGGTTACAGAGTTTGGAAGGAAATGGAATGGGGAGTTATTGCTTAGTGGTGACAGAATTTCTATTCAAGATGACAAAGCTTAGAAATCTTTAGTGGTGAAAGATTGTAAAAGATTGTGATCGTAATTATTGTCACTGAATTAAACACTTAAGAATTATCAGAATGAATAACTTTATGTTTCATATTTTTTTTAGCCACAATTAAATTAAAACCTTTCAAAAAGTAATAGTAAAATTAAGGCACTGAAAAAAATCATAAATAAAAATGACACTGCCTCAGTACCTTTCCACACACTGTACTCGAGATAGTGGTGGCTGACATCTTCGGTTATAGGCTTCCCGGGCAGCGAGTCTAGCTTCTGACAACTGAAATGGAATAAAAAGTCCCACTTAATAGACTATCAATCTTGCGATCATTCTAGAAAAGACAACTGCTTTCTGGCATCAGAAGCCAGAAAGACATACAAATCAATGTGGTAAACAAACATTCATTTCACAGGAAAAGAAAACACATTAAAATGGGAAGATTCTAGAGCAGTTGGAAGCAACACCCATAATCATAAATAAAATACTCAGCGATAACTCACACATGGCCATCTTAAGGGGTCTGCACAAGAGTGATAGAGGGGCCTCCCAGGTGGTGCAAGGGGTTAAGATGCAGCACTATGAAGCTATCCGCAGCACAAGTTCAATCCTAGGCCAGGGAGGTGACCCACACGTCACAGCAGACCTCTCCTCTCTCCTGCTACTCTCCTCAGCAGTATATTTCAGTAGATCCACCATTCGACTCCCTATTCCGTCTCTGGTAAATCCTTTCTCTCACACACACACACCTCCCCATTCCCACCACTGGCATCTCTAGCCTACATCCCAACTCCTGTATGCATAAATAAATAATTTTTTTTTAAAAGTGGTAGAAAACTACTAATAAACATAATAAAGCTGAAAATTTTCAGAAGCTTTAACAGAAGTTCAAGAAGAAACAAAATTCATAATTCTGTCTCTAAGTGACTTCACTGCAAATGCCCAAAATGAGTTTTTCTAAAACATTCCCTGGAATGACCATGACCTAAATTCTTCAAGGCCAACTCTTATTTGCTAAGGAAAATCAGCCATCCAATGCTAGTACTTCAGAAACAGCTTAAATTGCACTAAGTCTTTGAGATAGTAGTTTAACACATCAGTAATCAAAGTGCCGACTAAGCATAAACTCCAGTTGCCTGAACAAAGAGTATCTTCATCTCTTAGGGGACTTACATACTGTTCAAACTGCATGTTTTTTATTCGTGTTGACAACTCAATAAAATTGTCACATCATCAAAAATAAACAGTGTATTTCCAAAAGGTTGATATACCTTTTCATCTTCCCATTGAAAGAAATTACAATCTTTTCTATCTCTACAGGCAGAGCAGGCATAAAATCTCCGTGTTTCTTCTTTCCCTTGGCTCACCTTTACAAAAAGAAGAGTGGGTCCTAGTTCAAGAGCAGGAAAAAAACATGTCAAACAATAGCTCATAATGTTCACTGTCCTTACATAAAACATGTTTTCATTTTATGTTTATTTGCCTTAATTAAGTCCACTATCTCCTCCACAAATATTTTTCTCCCCACTCTCCTCCCCCGGCCGTCCCTGTCACAACATTCCGGCACAGATTTCTTCAGAAATAATTTTGCAAAACTGGTCTCTTCAGAAAGAAAATACTATTGTCAGTATAGCTGTTATCTACAGGGTGTGAATGACCTGAATGCTGAGACAAAAACCAGGAGGGGGTTCAGAGAACTGAGAACGCTGTCGCCTCCCCGCTCCATTCAGTGAAATCTGAAACGGGGTTACTCGACCATCCTTCTCACTAACTTTTTCAATGAAAAGATGGCACTGTACGCCCCAGGTAATGGCACTGGGAATCAACGCAAACACATTTCTTTGTTTCTCTTCTTTAAAAAAGAAGAAAAAGCTGGAACAGCTGAACGACCAAAACCACAACAGTGGGGGACTTTCTAGGACGGTTTCAGTAACATCGAAAAACAAAACGCCCGAGGAAGGGGCGTCTTCCCCAGAATCCTACAAGCTCACGGCAGCTTCAGGTTAACCCAAGTCCCTGGCGCCCGACAACCAGGCTGAGCCCCGACACGGACCCACCATGAGGGCACATTGGGGCTGGGGTAGCGAGATCGGAGGGAAGGACCACCTCCGCTGCCGAACTCCCCAGGCTACCGGAGCTGCCCTCTGCCTCCACGATTTCAAGCCGCTCCCTGGGGGCCGCCATCTTCCCGCCACCGTCCCGAAATCCTCAGTCAAAAAAAAAAAAAAAAACCACCACAAAGCTGCCGCCACGACCCAGATGAACTTACAGCGCCCCCACGCGTCTCGGAGGATCTGTGGCGCTGGGGCAAAAGCCACGTCCAGAAACAGTCGCCGCCCTGGAGGAACCTTGGAGCCAATAGTGGGGGTCTACTGGCTGGCTGGCAACTGCTGGATCTTTGCAGTAAGCTCCCCTATTTCCTCTCTCACCTTCAGCCCCCATAATTGCTCTTTATTGAGAGTGTAGGCAGATGAGGTAACTCTGTGGAGCAAAGACTTGATCCAGTTGTTAAGTCCAAAAGACAGAATAACCACCAACATCAACAATAGAAATTGATGCAGCAGCTACGCTGACTTTTTTTCAAAGTCAAAGTCACGATGGTGTCTGCTAGCTTTTCTACGATATGTATAGCTGCACGTTATAGTTGGTTATCAGCTGCCATATAGATAGGAAAGAGAAATCGGTCCCTCTCTGCATTTGACGTGATTGTCTACCTAGAAAATCCCAAAGGATCTATAAAAATAAACCAGTAGACAAGATTGCAGGATACCATGTAACCCTATGAAAAGATCAGTTATAGGTCTTTGAACTAGCAATCAGCACGTAAACACCAACATTAAAAACAGAATGCCACTTAGAACTGTTGAAATACATGAAATACTTTGATGCAAATATAGCAAACATACAGGACTTGTATGCCGAAAGCTAAAAAATGCTGATGAAAAAAATCAGAGATCTAACGTAGAGGTGTGTGTCTTTGGATTAAAAGATGCAACTTAGTAAAACTGTCAGTTATCCTCAAGTTCAATGCAGATACAGGTTTAACTCAGCTTCTATCCAAATTCTAGCCAGATTTTTGCAGACATAAATAATATTATTCCGAGACATATGTGGGAAGGCAAGGGAACTAAAATAGCTAAGACAATTTTGAAAAATAATACTGAGTGGAGGAGCCATCTATCCAGTTTTGAGATTTATACTGAAGTTGCAATACACTACATGGTGGTAGATTAGGCAAATGTTTCCTTACTGCATTTAAAGAATTGAAAATAAACATCCCTATTTAAATTCATATAATTAATATTTATGGTATACTAGTTTAGAAATACTGCTCTTTTCCACACACATTCATACACGCCTTCATGAGTCACCTGCAGGAATCCTGTAGTGTCTGGTTTTTGATGCAATGATACCTTTTTCAAGTTGTCAGACAAAAGTTTCTGAAGCTCATTGTATGCAGTTCTCCATCTTGCCTGTATGGAAATTTCTGGATCTATATATGATGGTACTTTTGGAAATATTTTTCAAGGTCTAACTATCCGTTCTCATGAACAGTGACATTTTTATTTTAAAATACTGTCTTACAAGTAGAGATGTGTGACCTTTTAAAGACTCATTTACAAAATTTGTACTTGAGCTCATAAAATCATACCACCAAAAGTAGTTACTGAATCTGCATTTTCATTTTCTCTTTTAAGAAATTCTGATTCTACGAGATGACAAATAAGCAGCTCTAACCAGTAGGTACTGACAGCTTTACAGGTAACCTTCCCCAAACAGCAAAAAAAAAACCAATGAAGTTTGACTCAAATAAGGTAAATAAGAATGCAAGAGACTTTGAAGCTTTTCAAATTAAGACAATTCTCTCTTGTCTAGGGGAAAAAGAGTCTTATATGCAGATCTTTATGGTAATTAATGTGTACTGAATATTTGCTGAAGGTATTATTCATATGAGCTATAAGTTATGAATGCTTAATTTTATTGTACAATAAATTTTTAGTTTGTACAAAAAAATCCTTGGGCAGAGAAAAGCTGAGAGTAGTAGAGTTCTCAATGGAAAGCAAAGACAAAGACAGAGCTGGAAATACACCTGCTGAGACTTGATCAAAAAGAGAAAGAGACACCTGTTGCATTTCCTACCCCACAGATAGTCTTTAATGTGGCTAAGACATGCTCCATTTCGGAGAATGCGGACACCCTAGTGAGTTTCCTAGAGGGATCAGGAAGTCTTATGCCTTAAGTTTACTACCAGGATAAAGGCCTTCCAATCCCCAATATCGTAACAAAGAACCTGGTTAGAGCCTCGGTTTTGGTAGAGGCGCAAAGGGCCAGTTTCAAGCAAACACATCTCAAGCCTTCTTTCACGCTTGTCTGCTATTATACCATTTGGCCAGAACAGGCCACCTGGGCAAGATCAAAACCAAGGGGTAGAAAAACAAGATTACAACTCTCCCATGGAGACAGAGGTACAGAGAGTAAATAGTAGTGAACAAAGAATCTGACCCACCTCAATGCTTCTAAATGAGTAGCATCATTGAATTCTGATTTCAAAATGTTATTTATAAAGAAAAAATTCCATTGTGCCTTGCTTCATTGTAAATTCAAGCGCACTCATTATCAGAAAGTGTCTGCATCTGACTACTTTGTTACAAATGTGGTCCTGCTGAATATTTACATATTAAATACATGTTTTGTTCTAACTGCCTTTTATTTTTAAATCCTTTATGAAAGTAGGCATTTAGAGGTGAAAAGTGGAGGGTCTTGTTGATGCCATGCATAAAACTCCGCCTCCCAGAGCACAAGAGCAAAAAGTGAAGAGTGGATCTGGAGAAGCAAATGGAAGATTCCAGCACAGACCAAAAAACACTCCTCCAAGTACACAGCAAAATGGGAACCTCATCAGTGCCGCACTGTGAAATCACGCACTTGCAAGCACACACACAGCTCAAATAACCTTTCCAAATCATGAGCAGAGGTTCCCAAGAGCCCAGGGGGTCTGGTAGGAGGGGTTTGTCCTCTTCCTATCTTGGAAGCTCAACATGAGTCCTCTGAAGGCAGAAGAGCAGAGCAAAAGCAACTGTTTCTGAACTTGGCCATGGAGCATGTACTTGGGAGTCTTTAGAGATCCGTGGGGTTAGAAGTTGGGCTTCTAGGACATTTTAGCAAAGAAAAATAAATTTCTAGAGACATGATAAGACAAAAGAAAAAGACTGGGTGTTACTAGCAGAAGGCAATGGATGGGGAAATGAATGACAGACGAGGATCAGCGTCGGGCGAGTCCCTTATGTAGATGCCGCTGGGTTGATGAGTAGGTAGAATTGTTTCCAGTGATTCACTTTCTTCCTTCCTGGTAGAGTGGGGAGGAGGGACACCTCCATAAATTGTGTCCTGCTTTTCAACAGACAGAGAAAAGGAGTGAGCAGAGAGCTTTTCTAAAATCTGCTTCTCAGATGCCATCAGTCCAGAATCATCCTCAGGCCAAAGTGGCACCTCTGGAGTGGCACGTTCGGCTACACTTTGATCACTTCATCCAGAAGCCAAGGTTTTTTTCTACTGAATTCCTCTATAGATTGTACCAAATTTCTGTATCCACCATGACAACTTGTCCTCTCTAAGTCACAGGCTTTCAAGGCTTATGATACAAGCAATACTCTTTGCCCTCAGAACTTATTAAGGGGAATAACATCCCAGTAAATGAGCAATATTTTTAGCTAGAAATTCGGGGGATTCTGCACCTTCCGTGCCTCTGGACAGCGCCCCCAGCCGGCGCTTAGGCATTGGATTGCTTAGAAACTACCAGGACGGTGGTGAACTTGCTTTCAGCTAGTGCCCAGGTCTAAAAGCAGTTCCTGATTACCTTCCAGCACTGCAATTTAAAACAAACACTTGAAGGGTAGAAGAGCTCTCTGGATCCTTCCCTAAGCCACAGCAAGATAAAAGGCATTCTTAGGCGCCTGACAGCACAAACAGCTCAGAATCTGGTGAAACCAGTTCCTGCAGCCTTGGGATCAGCCCTGGATGTTTGTACAACTTTGTGACTCCTGTGGAAGGCAAGGCTCCTGGATTTTTCTAGTGTTTCTGCAGCCGTCCCTGGCAAGTGGGAATTGTGCAACCAGAACTAAGGAGCTGCCAGGGTTCCTCGTGAGAAGGAAAACCAAAACCTCTTTTTGCTTAAAGAGTAGATTAGCTGCTGCTCTTTGATATCTTATACTTTCAAAGTCCAGGTTTCAAGTAACCTAACCCACGAGGCAACGAGCAGGAGCAGTGACCACCGACCACCAGGACCACCAGGCTGGCATCTCGCCATTTCAGCAACATCCCATGATGCCAGGATTCTACACAACGCTGAGATTTTCAGGGAGATGCTAATCTCACACTATGACCAGGGGCCTCAGAGGCTTTTTCTTCTCAACCCAGGTCAACCTCACGTGTCACACAACAGAAAACTTTAAAATAGCCTTTGACTCCAAACCCGTCATCGTGCTCTAGGAAAGATGCAAGGCACTTCCGCACCTCCTCTGTGCTGGCCATAATGCAAAGCCACAAGCTTAGCTGTATGTCCCAAATCCAAACATGCCTTAACACCCCCGACAGCTACTCAGGTCACAGAACTTGCACTGCACTTTCCAAATCTACCTGATTTCATTCTCCTTACGAGCCTCTGAGGGAATCATTGACATGTATATTCTACTTGTGGCAAGAAAGCCAGTCTGGGAAGCTACAAGCCTGGCCCAAGAACCTAGGGTCAACAAGACACAGAAACAGGATTTAGAGCCATTTTCCTATTGCAACCTCAAACTCTTTGTTGAAGGAGAATCATGCCACACCTTTCACTTATGGAAGATAAGCAACATTAGAAGGCAGAGAATCCAGTATTTTGAAATGGCAAAATTTACTCTCTGTGATAGAAATGATAGAAGAAAAATTTTGGATCTTATGGATTTCCCATTTCAAGGAACTCTTCACATGGATTCAATCAAGCAAAAACTGACTGAATAAAATGATGCCAATTAACAATGCATTTGCTTAGATGGATGCATATGTATTATATACCTCTGCTCTTGAGTCGCTGGGTCCAGTTACCTTTAGGGGTCTTATGAGAAGAACAGGGCAAAAGCATAAAGGTCACAGCAAAGAATGTAAGTACAGTTGTGTAAAGTAAAACAAGACTTTGCTCCAAGTTATATGTTTTGTTCCCTTGAGATTT